TATCACAAATGCATTCAATATTTGGGCAAAAAATATTCCGATACATGCATTTCGTTGACAAATATATCGATATATTGATATTTTTATATACAGTAGAATCCGGCTATAACAACTCCACTCATAGCGTCTGTTCGCTTATAGCGACGAAAATTCTGGTCCCCAGACAAACTTTTATGAGCAAACTTATACGGTTAAACCGTCTTCCGGGTATAACGACGGCCCCTTGGGTGTCGTTATAACTGGATTCTACTATATTTTCTACAACCCTAGTAGAATCATTCACCACTTGCCCATGGCTCTATGAATGACTCAAGCAGAGCTTCAGCTTCACTTCATTTCTATGAATTAAAGCTGTAAAAACCAACTCTACAGAGTTGTCTATTGCTTTCCAGGGTACTTCAGTGTAACAATAAATGTAAAAAGCTGTTGAGATCTATAGATCAAATTAGTTTCGACCTAGCTGGCGAGAACTCTGAGATCATATAGTCATTAATGAATATTAATGAATCCTTTTAAATCTTTTGAATGCGAAATTTATAAACTTAATCGTTTATAACTCCAATGCTATCTCAGTACAACAACAAATGTAAACAGCTGATGAGACCTATAGATCAAATTAGTTTCGACCTAACTGGTGACAACTCTGAGATCATAGAGTCATCAATGAATCATTAATGAATCCTCTTAAATGTGGAACATCTTTTGAATGAGAAATTTGTCGACTCAGTCGCTTAGAACTTTAACTGGCTGATGTTTGTTTGACTCAATAGATCTCGATGATATTTTTTGACACGATCATAATTTAAGTTATTCCTGAGAAGGCAACCTCATAGTATATTCTTAAATAGCTTTAAAATAGGCTCACATACAACATATTATCTCAGATCAATTTTGTTTTATTGCAATTTCATTCCGACCTACACTGGACGCCCATTGATAGGCAACAATGGCTTAAGCACAATAGGTTTATGTGCATGTTAGCTTTAAGTTATGTAACATGTTTTAGTTAATTACTCATTCTAATCTCATCTCTTCCCTCGCTCTCATTGTGCTCATTATGCAGGGTAAGCTCTAGTCGAGCCTGTTTTTGTGAGCCAAGACGGAAGCTTATTATAAAACATTTCATTTCATTTCATTTGCTGCTGTTTTTCGTACACACACACACACATACACACATACATATATAATATTTCTCTGCTATCCATTTAAACGTAAATAAATAAAATGGCAAACAAGAAGGGCAGCAGCAGCAGCAGCAGCAGCAACATCAACTTTTGGCAAACGCCCAAAAATTTGTTACCATTCAACAGTTGGCCACTTTCATTGAGGTTGTCTGGGCTGCCAAGGAGTCGTGGGTCGCCAAAGGGAGGGAGGGGGGGCCATCGTGTTGCTGGGCTTTTGACAGAGATGAGGGCAGTTGCTGGCTGAGCAAGCAGGCGAAGGGGCGGAGATGGGGTGGGGGTGGTTGGGGCACCGAGTGTGAGCCCATTTCTGGCATGTTTTGGATACGAAGCCGCATTTGCGTTCTCAGCGGTTTCTGTTTGCGTTTGCGTTTTGTCAGCCATATGACAGCAACGTTCAGCACAGCAGCGCCACCTGCGGCTCAATATTGACACTTTTGTGTGTCTGTCGCTCTGTCTCGCTATCTGTCTCTGTCTGTGTGTATCTGTGTGTGTGTGTGTGTGTGTGTGTGCCATTTTGAGCGTATTTGTTCAAGAGCTTTAATCAAATAGCCCATAATTAAATGTAACAAGTTTCCAGCAACAACAATAACAACAACAACAACAACATATGTATACATGTCAGCAGAAATATTGTATTGCGTCTACTCTCTGTCTTTTCTATGTGCTATCCTGCCATTCATCCATCTATGCCTACCTATCTAACTGTCTATCTAACCGCCTGTTTGTCTGTCTGGTTGTCTGTCTCTCTCTATCTCTCTCTCTGCTCTCACCTGCTACAGTTTTGTTTTTCTTTTATTATTTTCCTTTTCCTTTTTTTTTTTTTTGCCTCCATCTATCTCAGCTTGTTGCGCGTTCTTTGGATGCCAGCAACAAATATGTGTAGCATGAGCGACAGAGACAGTCCGTGAGTTAGGGTATTAGGTACAGCCACGCCCCCCCTGTCAGCCCCTTCGCAAATGCCATGCCACGTTAACTGCTCGCAATGCGTTCGGAATTTGAAGCCAATCCAAATATTTCTTCACTTCGCTAGCTGCGTGTGTGTGTGTGTGTCTGTGTGTGTACCTGAGGAATTGTGATAACGAGCCAGATTCTAATRAATGATTGATTGATTGAATGATTGATTCAATAAAAGAACGGCATGCAGTTGTTGTCGCAATAGCTATTAACTAGACCTTATATTGCTTAATATATCAATATATATGTAGAGCTCATATATTTTTGAGTTTGCTTTTAAGCTGCCTAAAGGAACGGAAAATATCCTGAACTCCATCTTGAACTGCTCTTTTATATCTACGTTCTATACTCCAACACTTCAATCCAATTTGATTTAATGTCTATATGGAGTATACGAAATACTAACTTTTAATGATGGCAAATAGCTAAGGGAAATGCAGAAACCTATCGATAACTTAGATTACACTTGAGGGTGGAACTAGAGTGCTGATAGAGTGTGAAATAAATCGCAATGCAAATAGTCATCGATAATTTGAGATGTCAATTTGATTAGTAAATTCTAAAAAATGAATCAAAATACAAAATGTTATCGATAACTTGAGGAAATGTTCAATTAACAACATTTGTTTTCGATAATTATAATCTTATATAACTTGCAATGATTGCATAGCCATGAGCAAATCTATCAATACTTTCAAGAGCAGACACTGCCCACCTCAACGCCCACCTTCTACTTGCACACACCAATTCCCATTGTGAATGGAAAAAACTTTCTGTATTTAATTAAAATTGCTGCATTTTTCTATAGCTGCAAAGGAATTCGAGCCATCCCTTTGACCAGAGTTAAATTAATCATTGACAGCTGTTGCCTAGCCAAAGGCTTTCATTTCCTGGTCTCGCTCCTAGCCTAACCTACTTTCATCTCCAGCTATCGGATCTGCTTTATTAAAGTTGAATACACAAAATATTTTCAAATAGATTAGAGTTTTAGAGGCTTATGCATAAATAGTTTAAGAAATGGCAAATCCATTAGAACTTTTCGATTGTGAATATATATTGCAGGGTATTTATAAGTTGCGTAGACCAGGTCAAAGTATTGGCTGCAATGGTACGTTACCTTTGAGCTATGAATACGCTTCAGGCTGTTTGTGTTTATGGCAAATCGCTTGCTGCCGGGTATATTCTAGCTGAGCATGCCCAGCTTTAGTTCCGAGAGCTGTGAGTCCCAATGAACTTTTCAACAATCCCATAGAGCATCTGCGGCCTGTGTATACCCGCACAAAGGTTTCATGTAAATGTGTATTTGTGGGCGTGTCTGTGGTTTACATCGTTCGCCATCCATGTGGCATTCCACTTTGACGCTTTGTCTTGTCGACACACGAGCTGCCAACAAAGATGTCCGACTGAATGACTGAGGGACGTCATATAGCGCCGCTATACCCTACACACACACACACATATATATATATACACACATGTGAGTTGCACTTTAAGGACTGGAGCCAAGCACCATGGGGAAGTAAATGTTTGACATTTGCTGTCATTGCGAATGTCCTCGACATTTGTTGTTCTTGTTGYTGTTGTTGTTGCTGTTGACCGACTGCGTTGGCATTGTGCATTTGCCGTTGTTTATCGAGAGCCTTTGGCCAGCAGCAGCAGCAACAGCAGCAACAACAACAGCAACAGCCCTTTGTCTTTGACAACATATAACTGTACGGCCAAGCGAGCTATCGGAGGCCTTCAACGGCTACCCTATCACAATGCACAACCTTTAAAAAGTACGATTAAAACAAAGCACCTCACAAAAAAAACAACAACAACCAGTGCCTGCAGTGTTGTAAAATTCGATTTTTCAAACGATTTTTTTCGAATCTGACGAAATTTCTTATAAATCTTTTATTTTCCATCCACCCCGTCAGCCGCCTTTAACATTTTATCAAGCTGTCAATTCATCGAATTGGTTACATATCAAAAAATTCATTGATTCATTGATTTGATTTGAGTCGACACCCAAATTTGCATTATCCAATTTAATGTGCAATGTTTTTGATAGCTCTCAATTTGTCAAAGGTTTATTTTGACAGGGCTTGAGGGGCGAGACTTTATCAGAAAAACCTTAATACAATTTGATCTTCCTTTAGATTTAGTATGAAGGCTAAAACACTTAGTTTTTCACAACTATTTCGAAATCGATAAATATCGATTTTTGGTTGGAATGATAAGCAGAAAATAAGAGATTTATGTATATTTATATTGAAATGGGCTTAAATTTTCTAGATTAGATTCAGTTTCCCCACTTAAATGCTTCACTTATGGATCAAAATCTAATACTATCGATAAATATAGATTTTTGGTTGGAATGATAAGCAATAAATAAGAGATTTATGTATATTTATATTAAAATGGGCTCAAATTTTTTAGATTTGATTCAGATTCAGCACTTAAATGCTTCACTTATGGATCAAAGTATAATACTATCGATAAATATCGATTTTCCCTCGTATGCTTTAGTTTTTTAACTGTATTTCCACTATCTAATATTTTAAAGCTCTATATTAAATATTTCATGTCAATGTTAATAATTCTATTTATGCATTCCTTTCAATATATTGCAGCTACAAAAACTAGCAACTGACAGCGGGCAGCTCGAAGAACTTGTGATTATTTCAAAACGGAAACGGAAGCTGAAAGAGCAGCACCAGCAGCAGCCACAGCGGGAAGTGGAGAAGAAGAAGCAACAGCAAAAGCAGATAGTCGCCAGACGACAGTTGAAAACAATGCAAATTAAAATACAATAAAATGTAAAACACGGCAGCAACAGCAACAACAAAGACGACGACGGTGACGGCGACGGCGACAGCAGCAACATCAGAGAGAGAAGAAGTTAGAGAGAGAGAGAGAGAGAGCGAGAGTGTAGAGTGTGTGCGCTTGTAGTATGCGTTAGGGTGTGAATACTGTGGTTGAAGCCCGTCAAATGGAAATGAGAAGCGGGCGAAGTGGCGGCAACTTTTCCACTGAATTGATTTGCGCAAAAGTCACAGGATACGCGGTGTAGATAGCAACAGCAACAACAGCAGCAGCAACAGTCACATCAGCAACATCAGCAACAACAACAACAACACAACAACAGCAATTTGCATAATTTTCAGCAACAGACACGCCAGCAACATAAGCAACAAATTTCACACAGCAAACGCAACGGACATAAAAAGGGCGCCGAAACAAAACAGGAGAAAAAAAAATAAAACAGTAAAAAAAAACATGTAAGCTACGTTTGCTCGATGGATTTTTTTTAGCTTTTCGCATTTAATATATGCAAAACAGAGAAAAAAAATTAAAAGCCGAAAAAGAAACAATCAAAAGCGGAAATAAACGCGCGCAAAACGCTGGCAAAACGCGCTGGAAACGCGACGAAAAGCAGCAGGAAACGCCAGAGTCCAGAAACAACAGCAGCAACAACAACAACAACAATAACAAGAGCAGCGCGTACGCGAAAGTTTTTGCCTATAAATGTACCAGGACAGCAGCTGCAGCAGCAGTAGTCGACGTGGCAGCGCAGCAACAGCAACAACAACAGCAGCAGCAGCAGCAACAGCAACGACGACGGCAGCAGCAGCAGCAGCGGCAGCAGCGGCGGCGGCAACTGGGAATGAGGAGGATAACTTTGAGGCGTTGACAATAATAACGACAACAACAACAATAACAACGACAGCGGATATAGCCAAAGTGGGCGTGGGCGAGGCGACAACAACAACAACCACAACAACAGCGACACTAATCACAGCAGCAGCAACAACACCAACAACAGCAGGCGCAGGAGCAGGAACAGCAACAGGAACAAGCGCCGCTGGCAGCTGCAATAACAGCGACGACGACGACGACGACGACGACGATATTTATACATCAGCCGATGCCGAAATAGATATAGAGTGCATAACAGCGCAGGGCTCACAATTGCCAACGAGCAACAGCAACAACAGCCACAGCAGCGGMCACAGCAGCAACAGCAGCAGCAGCTGCGGAAATGCCGCGCTGTTCTGCAGCGCACGACAGCAACAGCAGCCGCAGTCGCAGCAGTCGCAGCAGCAACAGTTGCAGCTGCAGCAGACGCAACGTGCCGCCGCTGCCCTAAACGCCGATGTGCGTTTGCTGCGTAAAATCGGCTACATTGCCTCGCGAGTGCGCTGCCTGGCCAAATACTATAACGACTTTCGCCTGGTCAATCCGTACAGCGCGCATCGGCAGCGACGTCAGCTGCAGGAGATATTGTTGAAGCACTCGATATTCGATCCGGGACGCGAACGGGAGCGTGCCTTGCTGCTGGCAGCGGCAGCGGCGGCAGTTGGTGCAGCAACAACAGCGGCCACCACAGCAGCAACAACAGCAGCAACAACAGCGGCAGCAATTGTTAGTCGCAGCCAGAGCTGCAGCAGCAACAGCTTTGAGCCGCTGGAGGAGCAACCGTTGCAGCTGGAACCAGAGTCTGATACAGAACAGGAGCAAGAAGAGCTGGCCATAGCCACGGTGACAACGACAACGACAGCGACAGCAACAGCGACAACAGCGACAGCAACAGCAACAGTGCGACGCAAATCGTCGGCTAGCAGCACCGGCAGCGGCCCAGTAACAGCAACAGCAACAGCATCCGCCTCGGCATCGGCATCGGCATCGGCGGGCGCCTCGACCAGTGCGTCGGCCTCGCTTCTGACAGCTGCCACGCCCATAGCGCTGCTGGAGGAGTTGCTCATACAGTTCTACGAGGATCAGGATCAGTGCCGCAGCAAGTTGACTGTTATACGGCGGCGGCTGGCGTGCAGCGACAATTTGAATACACTCAATAACAACAACAACCACAACAACAATAACAATAGCAGCAACAACAACAACAATAGCAGCAACAGCAGCAGCAGCAACAGCCGCAGCAGCAACAGCCGCAGCAGCAACAACAACAACAGCATCAGCAACCAGAACAACAACAGCAACAACAGCAGCATCAACAATTTCAGCAACGGCCACAGCCTGACCATGTCCACGTCCATGTCGAACATGGTCGAAGCAGCAGCAGCWGCTGCTGCTGCCACAGCCACAGCGACAGCAACGGCGACGGCCACAGCAGCAGCGGCTGCCGCAGCTGCCGCCGCCGCCGCTGCGACAGCGACAACGACMGCAGCAACTGTTGCTAGCGACATTGCTGTTGTCCTGCCCACCAGCAGCAGCGGCGGCAACATGTGCACTGGCAGCGGATCTAGTCAGCAGCAGCAGCAACAGCAGACGCGCGCCTATTTGCAGCCCTCGCTCGACGGCGACCATCCGTCGCGTCGTCGTCGCGCCAGCGACTGCTCAGCGGCCGCTCTGACGAACCAGCTGCACTGCATCACGCTGAAGAACAACAACTGCACAGCCGTCGCAGCGGCCAGCGCGGCTGGCAAGCTGCCCTTCCATCGGGGCAGCTGCGGTGCTGCCGGCGAGCATCTGCTGGCAGCGAACTCGATCGCCAATCGCGCCACCATCATATTGAGCAAGTCCTGCAGCAATGTGGACGGCGACGTCAGCCTGACGGCCAGCGTGCCCAACAACAAGCTGCGGGCCAGCGCCACCGACATCGAGAGCAACTCGAATGCCCTCAATGGGGGCCGGATCGATGCCATGCAGCAGGCCATTGCCGATGCCACCTCGAACAACGGCAACAATGAGTACAGCATCCTCCAGCTGAACAACACGATCATCCAGTGTCACTTCAACGACGATGACTTTCGCGCCCTGGTCAAGGATCTCAAGCGCAAGGTTGAGTACACGGAGCGCATGAATTGGCTATGTAAGTAGTGCTCTAACTATTCTCCTTTCTTATACATTCGAGTCCCGATAATCCCAAATGATCAGTTTTTCTTTTTTTTTCGATTTAGACAGTAAATCAAATTATCGGGAGTTATCGAGAGCAAATTGTTTTGAAGGGGATCGAATTTTTTCGATTTACTGCGATTTCCAATTTGGCGGGGTAGAAATTATCGAGACTCGATTGTCTATTCAATAACTATTATAATATATTGTTACACTGTACAACAAATACTGGATCGATATCAATGTCAACTGTTTCTCTACTGAAAGTGTATCGAAACATATCTAGAAACTCTCGAGAGAAACTATGAAAATCATTATTGTATACATGGAAGTCCTATAAATTGTATAAGTGTCCATGATAATCGAGTGACTCTTAGTACTTATCGATAACAAGTTGGTACCATTTTTGCATGAATCGAATTTCTTGTAGGCAATCGATTACATTTTGTTACATCACTTGCATTATTTTCCTTAAAAGAAATAAAAATCGAATTGGCCAGCACTCGATAATATTTGCCATCTTCTCAAATGGATTAAAAGCGAATATGTTTCAAATAATCGATAACTTGTTCTCAGGCAATTGATGATTCTTTAATTTCTATTAAATTAAATGAGCATCAAATTTACAAATTATCGATAACGTTGTGTCAAATCAATCAAATAAAATTTTTCGGAAACTTTCAATAATTTTTTTATTTCTAATTCATGTCAATTAATAGCAATTAAATAATTTTACATTTTAATGAAATCAATGCAAACCAAACTTCTTTCTACTTATCGAAAACTTTTGTCATTTCTGTGAAAATAGACTTTGCACTTCTATTTCCATGAAAAATCAATGAAAAGCAATTACAAGCTTTTCTTCTTACATAGCATGGACATTTGTGTCGATTTTCATAAAGTCAATAAAAATTAATTTATTTTCAAATAATCGATAACTAATTAATAAGTCACTGAAGTGAATAAAGTTGCTTCCTAATATATTTCAAGTCTCTTTTAAAGTTGAACTCATCAAGTAAAGAAAACAGACCGAGAGAGAGAGAGAAAGAGATAGTGTTATCGATAAAAAACCAATAGTTGGCACTTGAGTCCAAGTCATTTGGACTCAGTCAGCGAATGCAGTGAACCGAATGAAAGTGCATGGACCGAGTCGTCCCGCCCACGCTCTTTATGGCTATTGTGAATGCAATTTGAAATGATTTTTACATTTCATTGTTGTTCCATTTAGAATTTTTGCATTCACTTTCGCACTCGCACTCGCATTTGCCAGCTCACGGCTCATTTGAGGCATTTACGCATCAAATTTGACCCGTCCATTTGTTAGTGGCGTCCTTTTAGCAAATATGCAGCATTTGATATTTGCTAAAGGGACGCCACTAACAAACGACCCGAATGCATAACCTGAACACTTGAACACTTTCCATGCATATGCAAATGCAATGTCATCTACTTTGATTTTGTTGCATGCAACAAACTACATGTGCGAGACGAGCTTTGATCTTAGATATAGAAATGAAATTTCTTACCTTTACAAGATTCGAAATGAATGCACTCAGAGACTAGACTCTCGTTTGAGCACTCGGGTTGAGTTGCTTAAAGTTTGCTTTTTTAACTATCTCTACTCTAACTATTTCTTTCAATGTATTAAGTCTTTATTATCTTCCATACTCCTAAAAAGTAATACTGATTACTCTTTACCTAAACTTGCCTTAAAGAACAAAGTATAGTTTTGATTACAACAAAAATCGAAATTATACCAAATCCATGGAAGTATACATTTAAAGTTTGGAGACTGTAGCTCTACAGGTGTAGGAGATATAATTAAATAACTAGCTTTCGATAAGGTTTTTGATCGATAATAAAATATCGCGAGTAGTTATCGATTTTCGGAGAAAAACTCGATATGCGCGTGATATACACGAACCTAGAAAACAAAATTTCAAGTCTCTAGCTCTTATATCTTCTGAGATCGACACGCTCACACATACTGACTGACGGACGGACGGACAGACAGACGTACAGAGCTAAATCGACTCAGATCGTCGCCTTGATAAAGAATGTATATACTTTGTGGGGTCTGTCACGTCTCCTTCTGCCTGTTACATGCTTTTAACAAAACCAGTATACCCTGATTTCCCATTTTCAATGGATTCAGGGTATATATAATAAATTAAGATTTTAACAGATTTAAAGGAATTTAGATATGGTAATATGGTATGGTATAGTATAGATATAGGAGAATGATCAAATGCCCCCAGCCATAAAGCTTATTGGGCTGATTCCTGACTTAAAATCTTGAAGCTACAAAGGTGTCCTTGAGCTTTACCTGGTACTTACGCCCCATATTTTTTTCTTTGTCTATCTTTCTTCACCATCTTCCATCTTTATATATCTGCAATAGCAATAGGTCTACCATTCTGGAATCAGAGGGTGAGATAAATTCTATATGTAGAGGGCGTCGTTTTAAGATCGATTATCTATAGTAGCTCAACTCCACTTGCAAAGCTCTGGCAGGTAAAAGCTCTTAGCGTCAGCATGAAAAATGTGAGTTGAGCAAAAAAAATTGCACATGTGCCAACAAAGTTGCATTAAAAATGCAAACTTTCGGTCATAAATATTTCTCTGCATATATCTAGATATATCAGTTATTAATTGAGGTATCACTCTAGAAACTTCAAGCTCAAACTAAAAAAAAAATCGAAACTAAAACGCAACTTGCAGCGACTTGTGCAGCGTATCGTATAAACAGTTAGCTGCAGCAAGCAAATGGCTTAAGGAAACTGCAACAACAACGAGCAACAAACAACAAACAACAACAACAATGACAAACAACAACAACAACAACAATACAGCTGACAGCAAAGACATCAATCGGAGCATGTAACTTGTGATGCTCATCAAGAGTTGCGCTACTTTTGGACTGTGTCCTTGCCAGCGCTGTCTAGGTCTGTGTCTATCTATCTATCTCGCTCTCTCACTCCCTCTGTCTCGCTCTCTATCTCCCATTCTGTCCCTGTCTCTGTCTACTCTGCTGCTTGTGGCTGTGGCAAATTTTGCTTTTAAGGCTTACGCCTTTTATATGTTCTGCCCGTGTACGTGTGCATGTGTGTGTATGCGCCCGAGCTCAGCCAAGGACAGAACGGACAGGGCCGACGACGGCGACGACAACAACTTTGTTGAATGGCATTAAAAGTTGTCTTTGTATCGACGCGCAACGTTTGCCGTTTGCCGTTTGCCGTTTGCCACATTTCGTTTTGTTTCTCCTTCAATTTCTTTTACATTCCTTGCTGTCCTTGCACTTGGCCAGCACGTGTGTGTGTGTGTCCGTGCGTGTGCGTTTGCCTGTGTGTGCGTGCGTGCGTCAGTTTTCCGCATTGTCGCATTTTAAACATTTCAATTAAATTGCGTCGCGTCGCGTCGTTTGTTCTCGACTCGCCGTCAATTCGCATTTTTTCGTTGCCTACTTTTTGGCGCCTGTTGATTGCCTTCCATTCAATTCGATCTGTCACTCTCACTCTCTCTCTCTCTCTCTTCTCTTCTCTTTCCTCTCGATCGCTTGCTCCGCAGAGTCGTGCTTAAATTTCTGCCCGATTGTTTTGATTCGCATTGTAGTTTTTAATCTCTTAAGATGATTACGCCCGCGCTCGCTCTTTCTCACTCTCGCACACACGAGTGTGTATAAGTATGTGTGTGTGTGCGTGCTTTTACATGTGCTTCGCTTGTGTCTGGCATAACCTGTTCGAGCAATCAACGACATCGTTAATTTGCTTTCAATTGTGCAACTGCTGCGGCGGCTCCTGCGGCTCCTGCTGGCGCCTTGCCTCCTATTGGCCTTGCATTATTTTATGTCTTGATTTTCAACTGTTTTTATGCTCGTTCAAGATGCGAATAAGAGAGTAGATTGGCTTTTGGATCAGCATTTCCAAATTGGGAATGTGTTGCCAGGTAAGCTTTAGGCCCTAGTGAATCCAGAGATATGAAAGATGGTTACATGTTATATATACATAGCTTGAGATCCTAATGAATCCAGAGATATAGAAGATTTTTACATGGTATAGATACATTTATCTATGTTCTCATGCAGCTGCCATTCACATAGCGGAATCTATCGAAATGATTTTTAAGCATATTTCCTCCAGTTTCTTTTGCTGAACTCTCAAATGTGTTGCAACTCAATTTCTCTCTCTGCTCCCCTCTTGTACCATCAGACCCATAAATTTGACTGTTCGCCCTTTGAGGTCACTTCAACCGTTTTCAGAGTATTATGCAGTCAGAGTGTTATGCAGTCGGCTACACCCGTTCTACTTCCTCCTGCTGCCACGCAATCGTGTTTTGGCCCGCTGCTGCTGCCAACAGCAATTATGAGCAGCAGACGCTTTGCCAAGGCTCACACACGCTCTCACGCACTACCCCTCCCTCTGCCCAACCCCTCCCTTTTTCCCACTCTCTCGCTCTCCCGTATAGTCATCAAGTTTTGGCTTGTCTTTTGTTTGCATACTAAGTATTTTCGCAACACTGGCTAATTTCGTCGAGTCGCTTGGCAACACTGCGCGTAATTAAAATTGGCATCTGATAAAGAGAAAAATAAATACATAATCTGCTTTTATGACAGCAAATTTGGCTGCGAAAGCAGCTGGCCAAATATTTTACGGCAACAATATAAATGTCTCACTGTCTCTTTGTCTGTCTGTCCGTCTGTCTGTCCTGGGAGGCAGCAAACTGAGCAAGAAAATTAGCAGACATTGACGAAAGTTTTGAGCAAACTAAACCCCTGTCAAACACAAAGTGTTTCTTAGTCTGGAATATTACGATGGACTCGCTGAAAGACGTTCAGATACGAAGTAATTCTATCCTGAGGGTAGAGAATCTTCTTGTTGTTCTTCTTATTTACTGCAATTCGAAATTATAGCCTTACCTTGGAAGAGACTTCCCGAGCTGAACGTGCTGAGTAATTTGAGTAATAATTCCATAAACACT